AGCGTCCAATTCAAGAATACGAAATGCCAGTTTCAGAAAGAACTGAATGAAGATATCAAGTTGATTAAAAACGAAAATTGCTTATTCATTAAAGCGGACAAATCTACCACTTTTTACAAGCTAGAGGCCACAAAGTATAATGAACTCCTGAACGACAACATCACCAAAACATAAAAGAAAGCTGACAGCAAGCAACTCAGAAAAACTTTTTAGTTTTGAGTTCACAATTCGCCTAATTTAGTAAAGAAACTCGCCTACACAGGCGGGTTCACCTTTAGTCGTAGGCGACTTGGCGTAGGCGAGTTTGGTCGTAGGCGAATTGAGGCGTTACCGACTTACCTTATTGCCTTGTTGTATTTTTTTGTTGATTACCAGCGTCTCAGGCCATTTTGAAGCGTTTTCGGCGAGTTTATAGCGCTATTTTGGTGCAGTGGAACACCACGTGTTCGCTCGTAAACAATAAGCGCACGTGCTCACTCGAAAACCTCTGTCTGTATTACGTCATCAAAGTTATTTACAGAAGTGACGTGAGGAATTTATTTGGCTTATTCAAACAAGCTAATTTATACAGAACAATTTGTTGGGCCTGATGTTTTTTTGCTTTATTTTACTGAGTAATAGCGTGGATTGAAATCGAATCGATTTCTCAAATCTCTCATGTGACTCATGTTGCACAGCAAATAAACTGCCATGCTTGTTTTCTGTTACCGGCTTACCCCCGGGGACCCGTGAGATATTTTTTCAAAATAAAGGTGGGGTTGTGCAATTTATCCAAATATCGCACCTCAAATACCATAGCGCTATTTGCCTCTGCCTTGAAGAACAAGGCAGAACTCTGTTTTCAGTATAGCTTGAGGGTTGTGCGATTATATGTTGTCTACAATGCCGAGATCTTCTGACGTCGAGAAACTATGGAGCGTTACGGTGCATCAAGGCCGTGCGAACGTTTTGCGGAATGGCCTTCCATTGAAAAGTAGAGGTTCAAGTAAAACTGCACATGAGTATGGATTCCCAACAGGAATAAGTTGCAACGTAGCAAAGGGATCAGACCAAAAGATGATTCAGGTAATATTCTTTTTTAATTTGAATTCGTAGGTGTTCAAGTAGGCTTACTCTTTTTCAGAAAGCTTTTTATCCCTCGTACCGGGAAGATTCTGGAAACGATTGACAAAGTGTTGGTTTGTTCCTTCATCCGTTTACCCGAATGAGTGTTTTCAAGGTAAAACAAGTTTTATCAGTTTGGTCTATTTTTTTGAAAGCATTACCAGTGGATTCTACTGATTTGTAGAAATAAACGGGATGACGTCTTGGTGAACGTCGTTTGATTGCGGCCTAAGATTCAAACAGTGTTGTAGTGGGACTTTAGGCATGCGCATAACCCAAAACTTGCATAGTCACTCTTTCTCTCCCCAGGAGCTGCGTTTTTTGGCCAGAAAAAAAGATCGCAGCCCTCACGAGAATTGTGCATTTAACTTTTGCTTGATGCTGTATAAAGTTGCAGTACTGTTTGAAGTACTTTAATCATGTTGAGGCCGCCAGCCGGTTTTGCATGAGTGTTCTATGGGTATCAAGTAGGCTTACCATGGGTTTTTATGACTTTTTGTAGGGAATGGTTTGCTGACTGGAATTGAAATGGACAGATCATCAATTTACATTGAGGAGACATCAAAAGATGATGAAAAGTAGTCTATTGTTGAAAACATTAAAGAACAATTGCAGCAAAGAAAATCTTAAGCTAGAAACAGGGGCTTTCCTCCAACTTGTTAGAACATTTTAATTATTGGACTGGTACTTTTGCTGTCCACATTTTGTTCTGTATAAAATAATCATGTTAGGCTTATCGTTTTTGCCAAAAAATGAAGGCAAAAATCTTAGCAAAGTCTTCAGACTCTTCTTTATTATTCAGTTTTTTGGCATGGTGGATGGTGATTGACTTAAAAATAAAGAATTTTGACATATCATCAAGGTACTTGATTGTTGCAAATATTTTTCAATGTTTTTATTTTTGTTTAGGGGGATTAAAATTTCTGAATTATTTTCAAGGTTCTTTATGGAGATCAGAATTTCAGAATTGCCTTCTGGGTTCTTTATGGAGATCAGAATTTCTGAATTCCCTTCTAGGTTCTTTGTGGGGATCAGAATATCTGAATTCCCTTGTGGGTTCTTTATTGGGATCAAAATTCCTGTATTCTTTTCAAGGTTCTTTATGGGGATCAAAATTTCTGAATTCTTTTCAAGGTTCTTTATGGGGATCAGAATTTCTCAATTCCCTTCTGGGTTCTTTATGGGGATCATAATTTCTGAATTCTTTTCAAGGTTCTTTATGGGGATCAGAATTTCTGAATTCCCTTCTGGGTTCTTTATGGGGATCAGAATTTCTGAATTCCCTTCTGGGTTCTTTATGGGGATCAGAATTTCTGAGTTTCCTTCTGGGTTCTTTATGGAGATCAGAATTTCTGAATTCTCTTCTGGGTTCTTTATGGGGATCAAAAATTCTGAATTTTTTCAAGGTTCTTTATCGGGATCAGAATTTCTGAATTCTCTTCTGGGCTCTTTATGGGGATCAGAATTTCTGATTTTTTTTTTTCTGGCGAAGTGGTTCTTGTCTGACGGAATCGGAAAACTGCTTCGTCTTGACTGCCCATTTTTAACAGAATGCCCATTCGAGTCGTTACAATTTAGCTGATTTAAACCGAATGACAAAATCTTTCCGAACGATCTGGTAGTTTTCACTGAATTTTTCCAAATCGGAACGCCACATTTTAGTGTGGAACGCGTTATGAATTACCTAAATTCCTACAGACTCGCACCTGCAAAGAAATCCTTGGAATCCTCAGACCGTTGGACAATGAAACCTGACTTACAGACATTCTACAGTATTAGTAAGTACACTAAGCCGTTCATTTGCCATTATTTCGCGATTCATTGTGGACAATTACAAATGCAAATTACTAAAAGCAGCGTCGTACAGGTATGTGAAAATCTCACATTTCCACTTCGCTCTATTTTTTTCCAGCGATAATAGCCACGGATATTTTTAAGGAATACGGTGCTCTCATGCACTGTTGTTGAGCGTGTGCAAGTCCTGATATCTCGTTTTGTTCTAGTACGGAGAAATCGCAATTTAAAAAGTACCACTTTTCCGCTTAGTCAAGTAGTAGCATATTTGACGTGACGACAGTGTTTACATTTATCAAGATACTCTACCTTTGTGATCACACTTGGAAAGTTGATGTATTAAACTGTTGTATTCCAGAATACGCCTTTCGTATTGAATTGTTTTTGGCAGCGTGAGGTCCTAGTAAAGATTGCTCATTTTGTGTACTCAGATGATATCAATTTCACTATTCGACCTACGTGCGGAAAATTGTTCAAAAATTAAAAAACTTTTGAAATCTGAGGGAAACCACTTTTGTTCCGATGATAGGCAGTGGTTTCCTTATCCACATGCAAAGTTTAACACAAGATTTATTTTTGAACCAATTTCGAGTGGTCGGAAATTACAGAGAAACGCTCTTAATGCTGACTTAAAAATGTGCCCTACAAATTTTAGACGGTAGTTTGTTCCAAAGCGCTGGCGCCGCCACGATAAAACTGCAGTCACCGAAGGTGTGCAAACTCTTTATCCCAGGTGGCTGCAGTAAGACTTCGTTGAATGATCTGAGATTATAAGTTTCTATCAATGTGCTGCATGATATATACTTGGGTAAATAATAATGATACTTGTGCGATAAACAGCTTACGTGGCTTATATCAATATAGGTTACGTTATCGTCTTACTTTAGAAATGATATCAGATGATCTTTAATCTTTGTGATAGGGGAGAGCATTGAACTTTGTGAATCCAAATCATGAGATTTGAACACTTTCACTTACCATCCTTTACTTCTCAATATCGCTAAATTAAAGACGTGGGTTTTACTGAGAGCGTAGACTTGCTTAAAGTACTTCTTGAACCTTGTTAAAAATCAGTGGTCAAGGTTCAACTGCTTTGTTGGTTTATCACTAGGACTTTTTTCTCGATTTATTGGTACCAATGGATTAGCGTAGTGATTGCGCGCTGCGTCAAACAGTCAGATTTCTTTCCTATGCCAGATTACTGAGTCGTTTATTTGGGCAGAACAATTTACTCTTACATTGCCTCCCTCTGTCCAGGGATATGAAACGGTACAGACGAACTGAAATCCAACCAAATGCCGGGGGCTAACATGGGAGGAACAGACTTCCCACCCAGGGGGAATAACAGTACCCCCAGTCACTTCAGAATCTGAGTTAGGCTGGTGAGAAAACAAAAATAAAAATAAATAAAAGTTCCCCCTTCATTTCATCAGTTTTGTTATATGGCAGATCGTAATCGTCATTACAGGAACCCAGAGATGAATATAAAGCTTAGGCAGCTAAATGAATCTAAGGCAGACAAATAGCAATGGCAATTCCAATCAGTAATGACAATAGGACCAAATGGATTCCACTTAGGTCTGTAATTATAAAAGTGATTACAAATCGGACGACCGCGAAGTGGGAGTCCTTTTTGTCAATCACATGTATGATTACAGACAGAATTGGACTACAGAGGTCCTTTTACCAATTAACCATAACCATTACAATCTCTGCAAAAAGAAAAAAACAATACATTTATTTGAGAAAAGGCTTTAACATTAATTATTCAAAACATTGTCAAAAGTAAAAACGCTTTTAAGGGGCTTAGGAAGCTATTGGTCAGAAGTTTTTCGGGTGTAATAGTTAAATATAGCAATAATTCACGGGAGTAAGGAGATTGTTTTCGCAAGAGCTTTTATTTTTTCTTTGTTGTCTTTCAGTAGTCCACAATTTTTCTGGCAGCTTTCGCTTTGTTTAAAATTTTTCTTTATTTTTTTTAATCGAGCTTGAGTTTGAAACCCGCAACAAATAAGCACTCATCGGCATTCATTTATTGAAATTGAACATTCTCATTAAGTTACAGTGTAACATACTACAGCTAAGAAAACTTAATAGACAGAAAACTATCACACCTAAACGGATGTTCCTGAGCGATACTTAAAAAGAAAAAGACATTCTCATCCCAACTGTCTTTCTCTATTACCACGGATAGAGAGTAAGGACATAGCAGTCCCCAGACATTGAAACAAACCTATACTATGATTAACCCTTTATCTCAATACTGACGCTTGTCTTTCTAAAAATGTTACTTGGGTTCTTGTTTTATTTGTTATCTAACATTTTCCTTTTACATTTTTAAATCAACGAAAAGACGTTCTCCATAAGGGAAGACTCAAGCGTACCATGCAAATATGTCAGCACAAACTTTACCACTGTTGTTTTCCTCTGAAGTGTCTTTCCAATCCTGCCCGTACCATATCTGCATCTCTTGGTTGCTCATAACAGACAACGGAGTGACGAGGCGACGAAAAACCAGCTCAGTTGAATTATGGTGATATCCAGGAAGACTGTAGGAATCCTTATTGAAATCTTCGGCAGGTGGAAAGACAGGTTTCTTATCGGCATCTGTGATGATTGTCATCAAATTTTCTCCATATTCTTTATAAGTGCAGGCCCAGTAGGATGCACTAGTAACATGGTTGCAGCGCACCGACCCTGATCTGTGAATAAGCTTCATTGTCTCCACTCGTCCACTCTTTGTCATATTGAAGGAGCCATAATGATTATCTTTGGCTCCAAAGCAGACGGGTTTTTCACCATTTATCTTTTGCCAGCTCTCTAAAATAAAGTAATGCACTAATAGGATAAGTAGAAAGCTTCCAGAGTTCGATTCTATTATATATGTAGCTACTGACAGTCAATGTATGTTGCGAATGGTAACTAACAGCCATTTGAAACATAATTTCCTGTAATAAAAACCGTTTACTTTCCGGCGCCGTGATCTTATTATTTGTTTAAATCTGTTCGCATTCGTCAATCAAAACAAACTTGTTCAGTGGAAAGAATAGTTCATGTCAATCACTCATCCTCTTCTCTGAATCTATCTTTTTCTTGGAATTACTGAAAACAAACTCCTTTTTTGCTACAATTCACTTTTTTATAAACACTGGCCCGTGATAACATTTCAATAAGTTAAAAAAAAGTCAGGAGAAAAGCGCGTAAAGAGGAAGCGGAGTGAAAAACGATTCTAACAATCTAATGAAATGATTTACCTTTACAATAAGCCTGGATGACCTTGCTATTCTCTTCGGAGTAGATCCAGTATTTTCCGTCAGCCATCTCGTCGCCTTCACTCGCTTTTATCTCACTGCATGTATCAGCTGGAAGTTCTTCGATGGATCCGAGGGGAACTGCGTCCGTAAAAAACTAGTTTATACAAGTAGTTTACACTATCATGCAACTCGGGAATTTAAGAGTGTGTCTCTGTAAAAGCGGTCCGGTCAATTTTGCTTGAGACACAGATTTCCCCCATTTCTTGTGGGTTGTAAGACATTCATGTGCCTATACTAAAACCACAATCCGTTTGATCGGATCTCTTTATTTTTCAAAGTTTTACGGAAATGAAATTTCACTCGAGCGAAGGCCTGTCGTGACACTTTTCAAGACTTTAATTTGAGACAACTTTGGAGGACAATTTAAAAAAAACTACGGAACTCAGCAAAAAACAAATACCACAGCCATGTATATTAATTCTATCTTATCCATCGAGGCGACTTTCGTGAACATCACATTTCAATCAAAGAAACAGGAAGACTTGAATGACACCTTATCGGTTCGCTTAAGTCACACACGCGAAAACCAATAAAATTTAAGGTAAATTCTTGAAAAAGTGAGGCGTTCTTAACTGATCCAACTAACATAGCTAGGAAGAACACGCCATAGAAAAGGTAACTACAGAAAAAAACTTTGCGGCACGACCTTTGGGAAAACTTTATAACTCCACGAACTTACCTGATTTTTGGCAATCTCCGAGTTTGGCCGCCATTTTGAAGGACTTGTCAACATGAAGCGTAACAGATATAAACCAAGCAGGTAGATCTAAAACCGTCTGAAATACATACGGAAGCAATTCAAATGAACTTTTCTTTCAATTCAAGCGGTAAAATTTGCAATTGTTTGTTAAACTTACCATTCCTACATT